TATATATATATATATATATATATATATATATATATATATATAAACAAAATACAAATTCAACATAAAAAAGCTAATTGAATTAATACACTAAAGTCACATTTATTTGTATAGCGTTTCATACAATACAGATTGTTTTTAGAGTAATAAACAAGACAATAATGAAAAAAGAAAACAAATGTTGCAAAGTTTTTCAATTATGGGACAAATACAATAACAAGACCATCTTCATTATCCAGCTCAGTCAAATTGATAATATTATTGAATATTAAGTGTCTTTTAAACCCCAACTGAGCATGTGTCAGTGGTGGAGAAAAAAAAAAAAAGGTTAACAGGGTTGCAAATAACAGGGTAACAAATGTAACCCAAATTAAAGGGATAGTTCACCCAAAAATTAAAATTAGCCTATGATTTGCTCACCCTCAGGGCATCCTAGGCATCCATCCATCATAAAACTACTCCACACAGCTCCGGGGTGTTAATAAAGGCCTTCTGAAGCAAAACGATGCGTTAGTGTAAGAAAAATATAGATTTTTCAAAATGTATAAGCTGTAACCTCCAGCTTCCGGTCGCTCAAGAAGGCGTGTTTCGCTTCAGAAGGACTTCATTAACACCCTGGAGCCGTGTGGAGTAGTTTTATGATGGATGGATGCAGTTTTTTAGGCTTCAACAACAGGGGCACCATTCACTGCCATTATACAGCTTGGAAGAGCCAGGACGATTTTAAATATAACTGCGATTGTGTTTGTCTGAAAGAGGAATGTCAGATACGCCTAGGATGCCCTGAGGGTGTGTAAATCATGGGCTAATTTAAATTTTTGGGTGAACTATGCCTTTAAGCTGTCACTTATTTATTTAGCATCATATGACCCCTTTAACTAAAATTAAAATAAATAACAAATACAAATAATACAAATCAAACGACAGTAGTTTATCAGTAACCCTAAAAAATAACTGCCAAACTTACATGCTAAAAAACAACAAGTTACTTACACATAGTAAGAAATGGTTATAAAAACTGAAACAGAAGCGAAAACAAGTATTAGGAAAGAGGAGAAATAAAAAGCTATACTTATCCTTTGACAAGATACGCGATGATGCCTACTTAGTAGGCACTAGTTAGTTTGGAACCAAGTGTTTCATGGTTTATAGTTATTAATAAACCTATTAGAGAAAAAAAAATGCCATGCTGTCGAAAGGGTTCAAATGACGTTGCTTGATGATTTTAAGCATGTTTTTTGCTTAAACATTTTTTTTTTTGATGATTTTTACGTCATGATTTTAAGCATGTGGCCAAATGCAAATTAATGTGGTAACAGGGTTACATGCAGAATTTGGTGCACAGCTAAATATTATTATTTATATATTAATATATAAAAATATATTATTTTTGGTAATTAAATTTAGTTCATTAATTAAAAAATATATTGCTTCTCTAATATATAGATTATATCAACATATTAAGATGTGATGTTTAAAACTGCCTAATTTTCATGCTTAATTAATTTAAATAGTTAATTTAAATATCTATATGTTTTATAATAGCTTGTCTATAATAACACATATAGATATGTTAATTATATATATATTGTTCTCAAATATAATACATATATATTGTTCTCATTGTAAAAAAAAATAATAATAATAAAAAAAAAAATCACCTACTAATTAAGATAATTTTTTATTTGTTTAGTTAACAGGGACATTGTACATTAATACAATGTTTCTGTAAATATACCAGAATTAGCCAAGGGCTATTTTTCATCTATAGTCAACAAATGTAACCCTGAAAAGGCCCTGTAACAAATGTAACCCTAAATTAGAATACATATTGAAAGAATGTAACAATTACATAACACAATCCATAAAACAATCTAGTAATAAAAACAATCAAGAGAAATAGAACAAATACAAAACAAATACATTGCCCAATAAATAAATAAATAAAATCTATCAATAAAATCAATCAAGAGCAATAGAAACAAATACAAACAATAGTAGGACAGCCAGCACATATAGAATTCAAATGTTGACAAAGCTGAGTACTAATTAACCATTTCTTTAATTGAACCCTAAATAATTTAAAATAACTCTGTCCCTGAGTATCTGTTAGTTTAAGAAACACTAACACGCTTTTTCTTCCACCTTAATTCTAGTGATATGGATGGGGAAGCAATAAAATGGGTATTAATTCTGTAGTACAATGAATTCTAAGAAACATCAAGTCAGATACTGCAGTGTGCATGCTCATATTATCCTAAAGTACATGTGAATTTGTCCTGAATGTGTATGTGTGCACAATAACTCTCATCCTGCAATTTACTGTCCCTGTCTCTTTCTTTCCCACTGTCCTTCTTGTTGACATCTCGCTTCCTGTTTGTCTCTGTGGAACCTTCTCAACCCCTGTGTAGGCAGAAATAAAGGTATTGCACGCTTTCCTTATTACCTCAGAAGGCCTCATTAGCAATATATATATATATTTAATTTTAAGGATGGTTAGATATTTTACTGGGGGGAAGAAAAAAACGCTGATTAAGAAACCTTTTTTTTTTTTTTTTTGTGGTGAAAATGGATGAATCGTCTAATTTGCAGTGAGATGGGGTGATTTATTGAAATAATACTTTAGATTTTTGAGGCGTATAATGTTGCAGTGCCCAGTGTATCGTGTTGCTGAGTGCGTGAACAGACTGGATTTTGAAGATGTTAGGTATATAATTCAGAGAGCGCTTGTGTTTTTCAGGGACAGGTAGAGTGTATTACAACACCACCACATATTTATGCTTTAAACCCAGAGATGCTGAAACAGAACCTTTCATAAAAATGACCGGTTGAATCTCTTTGCTGTTGTCTCTGAAATAACACAATGTGATTAGGAAACAAACAAACAAAAATCATTTAATCAATCAAAATTGTCAATAGCACATTGATGGTCAATTTTTTGCTAAAACTTAAGTACATTTTTGAATTGTGTTTTTAATGTAGCCAAAATGCTAGAAGTTCTGATGCCCTGTATATACACAGTTAGCAATACTAAGACTATGTGTAAAAATATTTAGCTATTCTAAAATAATAGATTGCCAATGGATTGCTGTTAAAAAATAAAGTGTATTTAGGTGCAGCTGTGAGCTGATTGGCTTATGAACATTCTGAGATGACCTGCGACTTTGACACATCAAGTGCAGACAGCTTGAAGTTGTTTTGACACCACATTAGACACATTTCCTGTCCTCTCTGTAAACTTTCTATCAATTCAAATGGTAAAGAAGCCAAAACATTTACATAAATTAACAAATTATACTGCTAGCATTATATGCTAGCAACCCCACATATAGCAGATAATGGAAGAGACAGATAATCATAACAGTTTTCTTTCATGTACTGGAGGAGGAAAATGAAATCAGCACTTCACCAACGCTCTACTTATGTTTTAGTGAGACGAGAAGATGTTATTAGCTTAGACTAATGGCTGAGGATCAGTGTGCTGGTGCTGAGGATGATGAAATTACTGGTGGCTGAAGGTCATCCAAATGGCTTCTGCTCAGAGCTAATCTAGAGCCTGCGCAAGACTAGACTAGAGTCTGAAGTGACTGGGACTGGGCGGGAGATATGCTATGTGACTAGCCGTCTTTGAGGAGTGATTAAAAGAGTCAGGAGAAGTTCAGCTCTGGTTTAGATAATCTCTGCTCTGAGCTTTAGAGTTTCACTCTTCTTCCCCCAGTCCTCAGCGCTCACTTCTACTAATTATGCCCTCAAAGTTTCAGCCTCTGAACAAAGACTCTCTATCTCTCATTTTCTCCATCTCTTCTTCTTCTCGGTGCAATTCAGTGCTCTAGATTTTTGAGTGGATTCATCCAAAAATCCCCATCTCTTAGGACTGTGATTCGTTGGATGCATGAACATGCACACATCAAACCAAATGTTCCAAAAGACAACAGACTCTCTGAATAGCCCTCTAATAAATTGGTATAATGTTGCAAATATGCAGTTTACAGTGCGTAGTACTACTATAGTAAGTAGTACACAGTGTATAGTTTACAATGTGCTGTATAGTAAACAAAATACAGTTAGTATACTAGGGCTGCAACAATTATTTTAATAATCAGTTAATCTTAATTATTTATTTGTTATAC